AGGTGCAAATCAAGCGACCCCCCCCCCCCCTTTTCTGCGCTGCCAAGGGCGCGCATGTTGGCTCCGACACCATACAGCCGACACGCAACTAATGTTTGTTTTCGTTTATCCCGTGTGACCTAGAGCCCGTCAAGTTCAACAAGGTTACGCGCGGCTATTCGGTTCCGGTTCACTGTTTGGGTGCACCTCGGCGCAGGTTAGTTGCTACCCTTTGGAATATCCATGGAAAAGACACTTATACTTCACCTCCCAAGCCAAATGGCACCCGCCATTCAGCCCTTAAAGGCAAACAGAAATGCTGTCCATCAAAGACGACCGGCGTCGAGTTACTCATGTGGCCCCAGACTCGCCCAGCCTCGCAACAGGACAAGCGCCACTTAATTAGTCACCCAACTCACTTGTTTCATCATGACATAAACTTCTTCCAGCCAAAGTAATAGCACCCACAGGTCAAGTCGAATCAATGCATTATGATAAATCGGTGGACCATGTCCTTTACACTATATACAATCCTCCCAGCTGCCTTGGCCCTGTAGCCGCCTCGGCTCGAGTGTGGACTCTCTTCAATCTTACAAATGCACAAAGTATATTGCTCCCGCCCCGCCTGCCACCTCATATTAGGCTCGCAGTCAGAAAACTTGGGGTATGCCGCGGCTATTGCGCCCCAATGACTGATCCCATAATCCTGCCGCCAGTAAACGCCATATCTGAAAGACAGAAAAAAAAATTTGCCACTGCAGAACGACGAAAGCAAATAGGCTGTCCCATGTCCGGGAACCAACCATGACGGACCAACAACATGCAAAATAAATCAAGGCGCATGCAAGGGTTGATAGTCGTGCTAGGCCAAACGCAAGGGCCAAAATCAATGAAACAAAAGGTGCAAAAGCAAACAAGAAGATATATGTAAACGCCAAAGCAACTTGTCGTCGCTATTCGCAATTCTCCCAGTCCACTCTTGAAACTCCATTCTGAAGACCCAAAAGAAAAAAAAGGCCACTCAACTGGTAATGTAAAAAAAGGGGGGGAAAAGTGTGTGTCGCGCATCTTGCGCCAAGTGTCAATTCGATTCGACGCGAGTTTATTCGAACCGACCTCTTGCAACGTTTGATGTGTCCAAATTAGAAGGTTCCTTAGAGCCTAAGATAGTTGATGCTTGATAGCAACTGCTTGTATGACGGTCGGAAATAAGAGGTGGCGGCGCAATCCAGAGCGTCTTCACTAGGTCAGTCTAGTGGGTACCCCAAAGAGCCACCACGTGCCCAGCCTAGACCATCATTGATAGTATTGAATCATCTCCATTTGCTTAGATGTTGTGGCTAGGAACGTCTACAGACATGGCTTCAGGCTCACCGAGATATGCCAGCTGAGCCCATACTCGCCAGTGCAAAACACCGAGATGGGCCAGTCGAGTTGCCATATCCTCAACTCCTGCCTCATCTTGTCCATCTCGTAGAGACGATTCAGAGTCTCGACATAGAGAGAAGTGTTTGTTGTTGGCCACTCGTCCGCCGGTAGCCATGGCGAAGAGCGAAACACCTGACAGGGCTTTGAACTCACGGACTCGGCCCGCTAACGCAGTCATTAGCCTGCTGTGGAAGGCCTGCTCAACCTCCTTGTAGATTTGCGAATCAACCCGGCAAACATTGTCCATAAGCTTCGCCTCAAACGTTGGTAGAAGTTCCGACGGGGCATTGGTATACCGGAAGATTTGGAGAGCCATTGACGGGGCGATAGTCTGCCATCGATTGCAGTATCGTGATGGAGGCGTCGACTGCAACAACGCAACCAGCGAGTTGTATACATTCTTGGCCTTGATTCTTGATTCGCAATTCTCCGGCGCGACATATGAAGGCATGATTATAGACGAGCGCGGGGAGGAGGATGCAGAGCTAGAAGAGCTAAATGCGAGACTTGACGGTCTAGAATTGGACAATGGCGTGTTGAAGTCAAACTCTGAAGTTGGCATTGTTGACGAGTTAAAAGTATCCTCGTCAAGGGGCCGACACTCGCCACCGAACATCCTCGAGCTATAGCGTGCCACCCGCTCCAGATCCTCATACATGCGCATGCAAATATCCAAGTTGATTGCGTCAACCATGTCTGACCGGAGCTTCATAATTCGCTCTTCGTCGAACAAGAAGGTGCTGGGCACTCGTTTTTCCGCGGATGAGGGGAGGACCAGACGGGAAAGAGCTTCAAAGAAGACGCCCATGTCGCCAAACGTTTGCGTCGTGTTGGGAAGCGTAGCAGAGTAATTTCTCTCGAATTCTGCATACCATTCCCGAGCCCCGGTGATGTCCACCTTTCGAGACTGAATCTTCTTGACAAAGAATTTTTGCTCAAAGTGTGTCGTATCCTCAATCAAGACAGGTCTCAGACAGCGAATTTGATGGTTTGCAACGTCCAGCTTCATAGCTTCCAGTACACTCAGTAGGCTGCGCATTCCAGTAACAAGTTGATCCAAATCAGAGTCGCGATTGCCGTCGCGAAGCTGTGTATACATAGTGTCTACCCAGTCATCCCGCATCGGCGCGCAGTGAGACTTGAGCACTTGGGAAAGCCAGAGAGCCAACTTTTCCAAATTGGCGATGCCCTTGTAAAACTGCTGCATCAACAATTCGATATTGAAGCCTTCGTCCAAAAACTGGCGGTCACGTTGGGGAACCAGTGTCTGAATTATTTCCTTGACGGCCTTGAGCAGTGAGGGAAGGGTCCAGTCGTCGGTCTCTCCGTGTTTAGCGTCGAAAGCGGGTCGGTCTGTTATGAATAGCGTCAATTCCTCCCTTAATGTCCGCCAAAACTGATTTGCCCTCTCTTGCTTTTTTCGCCCCTTTTCTCCATCCAAATTCGGCCTAAAGTGCAGCTCAGGATCAAAGTTTATGTCGTGCCGTAACTTGGGATTATGGATGATCTTTGATACGTCCAGTTCGCTCAGAGTAGCTTTTGTGACTGGGGGTTCAACGGGTAGCGACTGATGAAGAGAGTGCCGCCTCGAATGCCTTGTTACCACCGGTTCTGGCGTTGGCGAAGACGACGGTGAATTGCTAGAAGGGTTTCTTGATAGAACTGCGGCAGCGGGTGTCGAGGAACGCAGGGCCGGATCACACCGCCGAGGCGATTCTTGTGATGTCGATTGGATTTTGCCGGCATTTTGTGCCTCATCCTGAGGAGCCTGCTGCATCTGAACATCGGCGTCTTGTATTTGTTCAGTCTCGGTGTTGGGTCCAGGGGCTGAGGTTGACAGATTCCTGCGTGGTCTCTCGACAGGACCGCCAGTATCTTGCTCTGGTACCATGTTAAAATTTTGATGATGTTTCTTCCTTGAAGATGGGAGAAAGGTGTAGAATGAAAGTGAATGTTGGGTGTGCTAGCCCTCTTGATTGTCGGCAGCAGTCGTGCGTATTATTTCGTCAGTTGGTCCGCTGAGGAAATCAAGCGGATTCCAATATGAACCACGTTCCGTCTTCCCTCAACTACGACTGTTTCCGTGTTAGCATAAAGAGCGACATCCGTATTTCAAGATTATGGATCATGCAAACGTGCGAGGTGAAACGCAGCCTGCAGTCACGAGGCCCGGACAGTTGCAGACTCAAGTCGCCTATTTGAGGGCGAGCTGCAGCAACTTCGGGTCAGGGGACCACGTAAAAAAGGCTGTCGGCAGAAAACCCCCCATCATTCACAGTCCAAAAGAGACACATGGCTGTGTTGGAGCAAACTACAGCAAAAGAGGCAAGTGGGAAAACGTGGTGTTGTCTCGTGGTGCTTACATCCAGATATAAAGTCGGTGTGGTATGAAGGGTGATATCTCCAAGGGCAAGATGCCCAACTGGGGTACGCTCGACCAGGGATGATTTTTTTCGACGAGGTGGCGTGTTGTATTATTTCTGCCGGGGGTTTTATATTTTCGTATCTTCCAAGTCGTGTTCCGTTTTTATTTGTCCAAAGCACAAACACATACGGCAAACAGCTTTGCTGTGACGAGTTCGAGTTCGGAGTCGGGTCAGGTGCCGTTGGGAAGGGATGCCCCGTATGTGGCCCAAAGAGGGAATCAGAGTGGATTAGGCGTAGGCGTAGGCACAGGCACAGGCAGTAGTGACTCTTAAATGTGCCCAAGGACTGGGCGAGGAGTAGACAGATGGCTTTCGAATGAGGGTCTGAAAATCAAATTTTAAAAGTCATGAATGAAGAATTGAGAACAAAAAAAGGCAAGAGTTGACACAATAGAGAGTGGGAAGGAGGGAAGGAGGTGAAAAGGGAAAGAAGTAGAGATCAGACGGGGGACCCAGAGAACAAAAACTGTTTCTGAACAGAAGGAGCAAAGCGGACTTGTCCCTTGGGATTGGGACTCGACCTGGATCCAGGGAGGCGATGGCGCCGGCAAGGAAAGTGACTTCGAGAAAAGGAGGGCCGGGACTTTCGCAAGGGGACGGAGGGTGATCAAAGTCCACATGCGCACTTGCGCATTGAGTGGGAATGGCATCTGGCATGGGCAGCCATGACATTCGCGGAAGTACATCGGCTCCATCCATGGCGCCAACGGTACGAGTCGCCGTGCAGGAAGGGAGCACGGAGGGAGTGAGTACTTTCATTTTCATTCATTACACGACCACCAAAAAGAAGTGTGGATGGTCTGGGTTCGGTCAAGCAAAGGAATGACTAGCGCAGGGCAAGCCGCCACCGGCCACCCGACAGGTACATATTTGATGGAGAAGGGGGGTCTCCCCCGTCACAGGGTCCGACTGGTGGTACTTGGTACGAGTAATGTCTGGGACTGCCCACCTGAACAGAGTTGGCACCTTGGGGCAGCTGGAGCACGCCTGCACGCCCTAACGCTGAACGCCTATGCCACTTGGCGCTGTAACCGGTACGCTAGTACACCTGCACACCTACGCCTCACGTCTGGTCTGGCCTTGGGGTACTGGACATGCGAGGACCAGGCGCACCAGGCGTTACAGCCAGAGGTCTGGTGTCCATCAGCGGTCTGGTGCAGTGGTGCCGCCGTGCATCCTCAGAGCACCAGTGACTAGAGCTGGCAGGCTCAAGTGTCAACCTTTTGATTGTTTGGCTGCCAACATCAGACCTAGACAGCTGGTTCAATATTGTGGCCAAGCCGAGTGCTTGTTTCCGTACCTTCCTCACACACTCGGCAAATCGTACTCGGGCAGCAGGACTCTACTCAAGCGCGCAGCCGCACGGCCATCCCTCACCCTGCGGCCAGATGCCCATCTCACGTCCATGCCGGCCTGGCGCATGTCGACGGTGCCCAGTGGGCGTCAGTGGGTGTCAACAGGCGTTCAGTGGGTGCCAGCAGGTGCAGCGCAGGTGGGTGCAGCCGAGCATTGCAGCATTGAGAGCACATGTGCACCACGAGACTGTCAATGCATGGCAATTGATGTACCTGAACCTCCCACGGGTCAACAACGGTACGTGAGTTGGTTCGGAATACTTGGCGCCTGGTGCCATGAACCTCGAGCACTGCTACTAGTAATCCAAAGTACCATGCAAGACTGGACACGAATGCAGACCTCCGTGTTGACGCCGGGCGCAGGCGCAAGCCTCCATGTCGCATTACGCCGACGCAGCTCGACTGCAAACATGGGCCGTTGGAAGCCAAATGCCTAGCTACCCAGCGGTGGGCTGGCGCATCCCACAGTATTTGCCTTATCGTTTTCAGCTTCGTCACCGCTGCCTCTATGGGGCCCTTACAGTGATGTACCAGTGCGCCCGATACGGTGGCTCCCCACCGCAACGGCAAGGCTTGCATTCGCGCCGTTGTTCAGAGTCCGTCTCGCGACTTGTTCTCCGTAAGACTCGCCAGGCAGCATCCGTCAGCGGGTCAAACGGCGGGCCAAAAACGAGCAGCGGCAAACCATCGGTGGCGCCTGGCGGCAGCAAGTGTCTGGTGGGCATTCGACTGTCGCGTCCTCTGTCTGGTACGTACTGCGTGCTGCGTACTTTTGCGTCGCTCCCATCAAGTCTTTGCCTTGCATCTTCACATTCTGCTCTTGGGTTCTCAAGGATGTCCCGGCGATAATTCCAGTCAGTCGTCGAGGTACATATATCCGAGTAATACCGGCTTTGCGTCGCGCGTCGGCCTATGCGCCAGGCTCTTTCGGCATGTTCGATGTTGGACCGTTCCATGGTTTTGAGGCCTTTGTACCAGGACAAGTTTAGAAACTCATGGCCGCCGGGCACCCCGGCATGGTTGCAGTCTTGGGCGGCCAGAGCCTGCGCCAGATGTACCACTACATGCCCAGTCGCAACCTTCCTCCTGCAGTCCGCAAGTAACATCGAACTGCTCGGCAACTCCAGGAATCGACGACTGTGCTTGGTTCAATGTTCAATGAATTGCTCAACGTACGGGCTGGTATTAGTGGCCCGGCCGTGCGCCCCCCCCCCCACCACCCCTGCTACTGTCTTTACTCCAC